TTTTTGCTTATCAAATTTTTTGGTATAAATTTTCTATATATAATTATGAGCAGTGGCGACACGTATCATTTTTTCGTTTTTACTTATTCAAATAGATATGATCATCTTCCGATAGCCATTAGCATATTAAGTTGGCTATTTGCCAACTACCAATTGATGTTTTTTTTAAATTAAATGTTCAAATAAATAATAAATTGTTAAGTATTTTTAAATGCTTTAACATTCGAAATGTGCAGACTTAGCAACAAAGGTTTTGCATTTTTTTGCCAATTTTTTCGCTTCTTCTGCAAAATCTGGAAATACTTATCGAAGTGTTCCCAGAACTCTACTAAAATAAAGTTACGAACTGATATAATAGATTTTTGGTACAGGTGCAGTTTGTCGACACATTTTTATATCGAATGTCTTATTATATCGCTACAAATTTATGCCGAGAAGTTTACGTTAAGATCTCTACATAGCTTTAATTAATTAATAAACAATTAATCATAAGTTCCCTAAACTCGTTTGGAGGTGAGTTGTGGTATATTTTGCAAAGATTACCGAAACATAGAGGAATGTAAACATAAGAACTTTGCTTTTTTTCTTAACTTGTACGAAAATGGAAATTTGTGGTGTCGGAAAATCAAAAGCATCGGAAAATGCGGTGCACTCCTTTTTTCATTTGTGGATACAGCACAGTTTGAAGTAAAATTTTCAGTTAATTGTTAGTGAATCGAGTATTTTCTATTTTAAAGAATTAGATGCGATTAGATATTTATAGCATTATCAAGTCTCTTTTCAAACTTTACTTTTCAAAATTTACCAAAAGTACATACATCAATTTTCAACTGACGATTACAATTATGCGACTTTGAGAGTTCTAAGAACTGCTTGAGGAATACTCCGAAAAATAATTGGATTTTTGACATATATTTTGATGCAGCTTAAAAAATTATAGATTACTCTTTTAACAGCTACAAGGTATGACAGCTTCATTAGTTTCCTCGCTGCTCAGAAAACCGAAGAAATAATGTGACCGTAATTTTCAATAAGAAAGCATAATGGTTATTTAAAAAAAAACTATAAAACGATACTTTGTTAAATTATTAACTTTTTGTTCACACGCACAATTACGTATGATCAGATATAAACCAGTAATTTATTCATAAAGAAGAATAATAATAAGACGAATCGCAGAAACCTATTTCGTAAAGAAAAAGAAACAAATTGGTCAGCATAGACAAAGATAATTTTTACAGCACCAAAACTGTGAGGGTTTTTGCAATTTTATACTTTTAGTAAATGCGGTAAACGTTTAGTTAGTTATTATTCAATTTGCGGTTGAATGAGAAAAACACAACGCGATATAGAACTGTCTAACAGAATCGAGCTTACATACTAAAAGGACAATCAATTCGTACTTTCCGATTCCTAGTAAAAAGTACAATAACATAATTACATTCTTCAGTGGTGCGCAAATCGAAAGAACGGTACCAAATTTTATGTTGATATGGCGTTTTCATAAGTAAACGAATAAACACATTGCATTCATAGGTATTGCGCCTCAATGCCGTTTCTTACAAAAACTCTATACTAATTTTAGTAAATTGCACCTCCATAATAATGTTAGTGAACATGTCATGTCGTTATGGTCATTTCCTTACGAAATGCAGTGATTTTAGTCATGTAATTTCAGTTATTTTCAAAAAAACGGAAATATTGCTTTTTTCATCACCGCTAGCTTAGACAATTTGTCGGCAGTTTGCTAACATTAAACGTGCAGGAACAAAGCGGCTATATCGAAAAACTTCGAAATAGTTCTCAACAATCGAAAATTGAAGTTGTAAGGGATAGCTGAAATCCGATGAGAAAAGCTAGTATTTCCATTATCTTGCATGAATATTTAGTCAGGAAAAAATTGTTTTCTGAATAAGTATCGCATTTACTCACAGTGAAATGAAAACATCATGACGGTAAAAATCGCATGAGTTGAAGTTCACCACTGCTGACAGTGTTCTCCAGGCCTTCGAAGATTGGCGCTCTGTCTCTGCTTGTAAATCTCCTAGGAAACTGATTTCGGTGATTTTAATAAATGGTTTCGTTCAGCGTTGGACCAATGATACCATTCTTCCAGCAGACTGTTTTAGTGAATGATGATTATAACTATTTCTTGAGATATATATGACTTGATGTCACGATCCACGACGCGTTTGCATGCATTGTATTCAGCTCTTAAAATGTATACACGGATCGATAAAGATGACGTTATCATAGAATGCGTAACATATAAATTTGGCGTTGTTTGCTGTCCTTGTTATTTGTGTTATGAATGGAACGAGAGCTGATTATTAGTCGCACAAGTTGGACATATTGAATGAATTGGCACATACAAAGCAATTAAGAAATTCATTATGCGGCTTCTATTCTGTAACAATAAAATATAACTTCTGCCGCTATTTTCCAGTCGTAACCGGATTATTTTTCTAAGGCGTACGTTTCACAAGAGAAAACAATCTCTTTGTTCTTCTTTTTTTTGTTGTTGTTTCCATCATATACAGTGCGTTTCATTAATGTTGCGTTTTTTCGATTGAAAAAAAATAAACGCTTGTTAAATCTAATCCATTGTCCAAACGTAAAAATTTATTTTATAAAAGACCGCCGAGTGCAAAAATATGAAGACGAAAATACGTGCGAATCTGCCGTCCAAGATCTGAAAAATACACGATAAGATGAATAAGGTAAGGTCTCTGTTTGTATGTCAAAACATTTAAATGACGTTGTTAAGGAAAAATGATATCCCACTAAACATTAATTTTATCCTATTTTTTTTCGTATTCTTTCTTATAAAAAAAAGCAATATTAATGACGCTATGTTTTTTGAATTCTTGGAGTTATTAAGAAAAAAGGATACCACAGAAATTATTAATTTTTAATAATGTCCTGCTTAATCTTCGTGTTCTTCCTTATAAGAAAAAACCGCAATATTATTATTATTATTATTATTATTTTAATTTTAGACTAATGAATTGAATTCTTAGAAAGGATATTAGATAATAATATGTTAAATCTTTCTGGTATATTTGGCTATTTCTACTTGTGGTATACCTATTTTTGCTGAAACCCGCCAACTTCACGCAGTCGCAAAAGGAAAGGTAGGAAACCCAAACTTTTACAACACATATTCCTCGATCGATTGAAAATATATGGTAAGAAAATCTGAAGAATTGGGCTATGGCCACAACACAACCAACATACTCAGTTTATTTTCTGACGTATAAAGTCTAAATGTCCGAAAATTTTGTAAACTTTTGATATGTAAGAAAAATGAAGGTAATTATGTTTGCGTTTAATGTAAAAAGGTTGAACACGGAGTGGTAGATGTTGTACACAAAACGTGTTTTGAAGAAGACTGTTATTAAAAATGTGTATGTTGTAAATAAATAATTTAAGTAAAAATTTCATTTTAATATATCCCTAAAAAAGATGAATTTCAGTAAAAAAAATATTATATAGTCAACGATCGTAAGTCTAGTAATATTAAATAGTAGCCGACAGTATCAAAAAGAACTTAACACAACTTATTGAGTAGCTAATTGTGAACGTATTACTAAGCAGATCGCGACCAGTTTTGCACCGAACACGCAGGTGGTTCTGGCAAAAGTTCGAGGACTAGTTTTTTTAAAAATATATTTACGAGATCGAAAGTTATAGCGAACAAATAATTGTGTTAAGCGAGGTGGTGTAGTGTATCTAAAAATCGTCCCTGACTCACTGATGTTCTTACTTATTATACCCACCACGCAATATTATTATTATTATTATTTTAATTTTAGACTAATGAATTGAATTCTTAGACTAAAAAAAGAGACATTGAGCACTAGCAACACAGGCTATCGACTCTAATTTAAAAAAAGGATATTAGATAATAAGCTTAGTAGTATTAATAAAGTAAAATATTGAATTGATATTCTGTTCTGAAGTTGATTGTAGAATGTACAAAGGGTTAATCGTTCCAAATGCAATACTTCTAGCCAAGGAAAAGTTGAGGCAGTCGCAGAGAATGTGCTTTATAGTAAGAGTTTGTCCACAACAGCAGATTGTAACCCCAATATTAACAACGATATCTTGTTCTAGTTCTTGAAGTTATTTAATTTTCTGCTATATTGGAATAAGGTTTTTTTTTTTTGTATATGTATTCCGCATTAGTACAAAATAGTAAAATAAATATTTATGTTTGGACAATGGACCAGCTTTACCAAGCGCCTAATTTTTGTCGAGTGAAAAACCTAATATTAATGAGACTCCCTGTATGTCGCCATGAGTATAGAACGTACATACAAACACACAAATGCTAAACAAGTGTTGTGCTTTCTTTCCAGGCGAGTGAATGTCTTTCCGAAAATATGTTTGTGAAGCACATTATTTGAAATTTATTATGCATTTAGATATTCTTGTTGGTAGTTCAGGGAACGTTTTAATGTTATCATTGAATTCTCACCCCAATTTGTAATGCGTTGCTTAAGAATTTATGTCATATGCTTAAATATACATATATATGTTTTATAAATGTATTCTGTGATATTAATTAATTTTGGAAAAAAGAGAAGATATAATCCGCCGTATACAAGCGGCGTCGATCAGCTAAGTAGTGATTCTTAAGCGATATATTAAAAAAAAATTTTGATTTTTGATCAGAACTAAGAAGTCAAACGATAATTTTGTGGATGAATTTTGGAGGTTATCTTAGGTAAAAATAACTATGATATATATATAAATTTATAATAAACTATTATATTTTTAATGCTGCGGACGCATTTATTACTGTTGGAATAATTTATTTCGATATATATTTATTTGTTGTTTTTGTTAGTCCTTTTTTATTGATAATTATTAATATAAGAAGAGGTTATGGGCACGCTGCAATATATACAATTCACTCATGTCGCATACGACGAAAAGTACTAAGTACGCTTTTTGTAAACTTTCAAAATGACTGTATCAATTATTTATTGTCGCAGATAAATACGAATGGAATCTTGACTTTCAACGCCGAATTTTCAGAATATATTAATCAACCCTTTCCACTGGAATATCCATGCATAGCTCCATTCTACTCCAACGTTGATACAACCGCAGGAAATGAATCATCATCGATAAGCATTTTTACTACACAAGATCCTAATCAATTGCGGGAAGCCAGTCATATGGTGCAGCAAGCTTTTGCAGGAAAGATAGATTTTGAGGCTACGGATGTAATAGTGGCTACATGGGAAAAAGTCGGCTACTATGATTCAAAAACCGATCAATTAAATACTTTTCAGGTATGTGTTAGAAATGTTGGACTCTCGGAATTAATTACAAGTTTTATTTTTTAGACTGCTTTGATTGTAGATGATAAAGAAACTTTTGTTCAGTTTATTTATCCAAAAGACTGTCTTAACTGGTTGAAAGGTGAAAATGGTCCCTTGGGACTACCAGACATTCGAGCTCAAGCTGGTTTTGTGGCTGAAGATGGTCGTTATTTCAATTTACCTGGTTCCGGTTCCGATGGTGTAAGTTTTCTATGTTTATGGGTTAACTCTAACATAATACTTTAAAACAAATCATGAATTTTCCACTTAAAATCTTATCGACATTATATATATCGACAAACAAGTAAAAAGGGGCTTATGTAAATATTCAATTTTAAGTATTTTGTTCACTGTGCAAATATTTCAACATATATTATGTTGTACTTAAGGGATATTCCTGCCATACGATTATCTTTTTATAATTCTTTTCATTACTCAAACTATCTCTTACTTTTTTAAGAATGATATCTAAAAGTCTTTATGTCGGGTCGATATTTTGACGCCTTACCTTTTTTGGTTCACTTTTTGCGATTCTTTTTTCGAGAAATGGAAATGAATGTTATTATATAGCTACCGTTGCACGTTCAAGTCAAAATGTTCAAGGCAGGAGAATTGGGGTACAACATAGTTAGACAACTGCTGCCCCGCTGTTTTCAATATTAGTTTTCAATTTTAAATAATTGTTAAACGCTAATTAATCCTCCTCAAATAAATTCTAAAAAAATTACCAATAAGCCTCTGCTGACACGACATCATTGTGTTGTAAGTTTGTATGCGATAACAGAATATTTCTCAAAGTCTATTAAACCATTGAATAAGATTTAAATTAAATTGGAATATTTTAACATTTATCGAAAAATGCCTTTTCGATTTGGAGTGAAATCCTTGTTGGATATTTTAATTAAAAGCAGTACATAAAATTGTCAAAATATATATTATAGACAATTGGGCGACCGATTGAGAAAATTTCAACAAAAAATACATACTATGTGCTTTCATTCAAGAAGGATAACGAGCACGAATTTTTGATTTATCTAGATATTATATCTTTTGAAACAATTTCAAGTATAAACTCTTTTGATGGAAAAAAATATAAATTTAGCTTATGAAATTCAGAAAGACATACTGAGTTCCTATTTTCTTTAAGGAATTTGCCATTTTAAATATCAGATAATTAATCAATTTACTGACATAAGAATATGGTCAGCGCGGTCGGTAAAATGGATATTTTATCTGGTCGATGCTGCAGACAGAACGATATAGGAATTGACAAATAAAGTTTAAAAATGTAGACTTTCAATATTGGTACGTAAAGCGCCCTTTTTGCTATTTTACACTTTTACCCAAATATTTTTTTGAATTTATTAGCACTGAAATGTGATTTGTGCGATAGTCTACATATTGGTTAAAATTTCTAGAAGACCAATTTACAAACAAATTGTGTACAGAAACCAAAAGATACATATTTAGTGACAATTCCTCCTTTCGACCTCAAGTGGACATATATACCAATTTTAAATACAACCACCAGATACACCAGATTTCCAGATTTCATCCCAATGTTGTTTCTGTTAACTTTTTTATTGTTAAATTTCTTGCGAATTGCTGTTAATCTTTTCGTAAATCGCTGCCTGCATAAGGCTTATTTAATCGATTTAAAGCAAGTGGGTAAAAGATCACAAATCTGTATTTTTTTTCAACGTTTTATGGAGTTTTAGTCCTACAAGTCGAATAGTTGTTATTTTATTTTATTAAATGAGTGATTCTCGTAATAGTATATTTGAAAATTGTTGGTTGTCATTACATTCGTCATAATAATCTATTTCTTTTATATTATTTTTTGCTTATTTAATAAATTATTTAACAATTTAGTTGCAGAAAGATATTAAATTAATATCCCACAGGAACTTGCTGCATTCAAAATACACTTTCAAAAAAATTGTTCGTTAATAATTGTCTTTTTTGCTATCAATTAGGTTCGTTTTTTAAGTGAAAATTCGAACATTGGAATACCAGGCGTATGGCTTTACCATGTTGGTCCTTTAAACTATGATAGCAATGTTGAAGGTCCTAGAAACAATAATTTAGTCACAGAAATACCTTCGAGCTTGCAAACCTGCCAGGACGTCGGGCTACGTACTTGCAGTCAAAATGCTGAGTGCATAGATAAAGCGAGTGGCTTCTGCTGCGTTTGTCGCCCAGGATTTTACGGCAACGGGAAGGTCTGCATTAGAAACGATATACCCGTTCGTGTCACTGGTTCGCTCATGGGCGAACTTAACGGGGAGCTAATTAATGAACGGTCGAAACTGCAGTCATATATAGTTACTGCAGATGGTCGCAGTTATACCGCTGTTACACCTATTAGCACTGAACTGGGCACCAATTTACGTTTAGCTTTGCCTATAGTTACCTCTATTGGTTGGCTTTTTGCTAAGCCATTGAAGCAATATATGAATGGTTACCAGTTAAGCGGCGGAGAGCTGCTGCATGAAGCTAAACTTAGTTTTAGTACTGGTGACGTCTTGTTAATTAATCAAACATTTGAGGGCCTCAACTATTGGGATCAATTGTCAGTTAAAGTAGATCTACACGGCCGCGTGCCTTATGTGAATCATCGCCGTAAATTGCATATGTCCGAGTTTAGTGAAGAATACGAATTTTTAAAACCAAACGAATTGTACTCAAGAAACGCCCACGTTCTGGAAATACCTGAAGAAAATCGTTTCATCAATTTTCAGCTGGAGCAGAAAATCTACTTTGAACGCTGTTGGGCGGATAAGAAAGCTAAAAATCCTGAAGGATTGAAATACATGCAGAAAATATCGAAGATAATGTTGGATTACTTCGAAAAGGACAGGGCTTTGCGTACTAGTATATTAGCAGTAGTCGGTGTCAATGCCACTTCTAATGCTTGCACCGACGGCACTGCCATCTGTAGCGAAAATATGGTTTGCATTCCTTATGAAGACACATATCGTTGTGATTGCGTTCATGGTTTTACGCCACAAGTAACTACCTCAGAAGTTGAACAATGTGTAGATATCGATGAGTGTGCATTAGGGACTCATGTCTGCGATGAAAAGGCTATGTGCGTTAATAGTCAAGGAGGATTCTCTTGTGTGTGTTTTGAAGGCTTTGAGGGTAACGGTTTTAAGTGTTTCATGAATCTTTCTTTAGCCGATAATATTGAGTCGCCTGTTACGGTGACCAGTGCTGTAGAAACTAGAAATAGTGATCGTAGAGTTATTTTGGAAAACAACAATCAAGAAAATTTCACTACGCCGTCACTAGAGTACCAGGGAGCATCAGTACATCAAGTAGATAATTGTTATGTAGGTTTTTAAGTGCAATCTTTTAGAAGAATCTTTTTTCAAAATTATTTTGATAAGCAGCGCTGTTCACCTTATGCCGATTGTTGGGAAGGTCATTGCGTTTGTCGTGAAGGTTTCTCTGGCGATGGACTCTTTTGCGTTAGTAATTGCCCCGCTGATGAGATTTGGGAAAAGGATGGGTGTATAAAATTGCCTTACGAGACTGACGTTCAGCCTCGCTGCAATTTCTTGGGTCAGTGCACTTGTGAGATAGGCTACGAGTTTACCGAAGATGGTGAAATGTGTCGCTTTGTTGGCCATTTGATAGATGAAAGTAAAAGTGATGAATTGGGTAAGTCCTATGTAGTGCGATTCACAGGCCACCATGTTTTCAGTTGTATGTTTAAGTTCCTTGCGATGTGGAATTCAATTGCCATCTAAATGCTACCTGCGATTGGTATGAAATGGAATTACGACATAAATGTTCCTGTAAGTTAGGTTACTATGGGGACGGTTACCACTGTAGCATTATTGACGATTCATGCGTAATGGTAAGTAGTAAATACTTTGCCAATCTGAAATCTGTACAATAGGATATTTTTTTTATAGAAACCTGAAGTATGTGATTCTCAAGCTACATGTGGCTACAATGAAGGCTTAGGTAGATCTCAATGTCAATGTAAGAGAGGCTATGAGGGGGATGGTATCCATTGTGCACCTGCTCCCGAATGTTTTGAAGATTTGGATTGTGGTCTAAATGCACATTGTGAAAAAGACGTTTGCCAGTGTTCACCAGGATTTGAACGTGACATGGATGATATTTGCGCTTTGGCTGGCAGCTGTGGTCTTGTACTATGCGGGATTAATGCTGTGTGCAAATACGATCGTTTGCAAGGAGTGAAATACTGTGATTGTATGCAAGGTTATGAAGGTGATGCATTGATTGGTTGCAAGAGTAAACCCATACCTTGTAATATACAATTCAATTGCGGAGTTCATGCCAACTGTGAGATTACCAAGTAAAAGTTAATAAATCCTGTAGGAGGAAAAGTTTTTCATACTATATTGATTTCGTTAGAGATCCTATTCATCATGAGTGTCAATGCGATGCCGGGTACCATGGAGATGGTTACACATGCGTAGAAGATGAAAATTGTTTAAACAGTCCTCATCTATGCGATATGAATGCGCAATGCTTGTCAACTAATAATGGTTTGGTGTGCGCTTGCAATAAAGGTAAATAGCGCAGATATGATTTATAGTTGTACGTTTCTTGCATAGAAAGTTAAAAACCGTTAGCTTTTTTATTGTTGTACGATGATGTTTTCCGAAAAACCATGCCACACAAAATTGCAGCGCTTATAAGAAAACTTTGTTAGAGACAGAATAACAATAACAATATTTAAGATTTACCTAAAATTGTAGATGAAATATTTATTCGCAAACTTCAGAATATGTTAACGTTTTACAAAAGTAGGCCGACTGCATATGCGCTTGCAGAATATGTACATAAGATTCTCTGTCGGGTACAAATTTCGAAATTAAATCAATTGTAATTATAATAATATCCAGGTGCTTTTCAAAAAATGTGGAAAATCATTTTTTTTTATCACTGGTATCATAAGGATTTTGTTGATCGCAAGTTGTACAAAAGCAGTATCCAAATATAGCCAAACCCAAAATCATATTCATAAATCCATTATTACGATCCCATGTCAGTGGATGTCTGAAAAATTCCTGTAATCCTTGCATTACTGAGACTCTTTCGGGTATCTCTTGATTCGTTGTAAACGTTATATTTCCGCGAGGATTTGAAGTTGAATAGGATTCTGAGCTAAGATTGCAGTTTAATTTTTTCTTGCTAACTTTGGCTTTGTCTTTAGCAGGACGCTTTGATTTAGTGTTAATTTTTGGCGATGGAATGTGAAAAAGTATGGGCGTTAACAATTGCCGCTTGAAGGCTTGAGAAAACGCCTCACGTAATTGTTTATACGGTAACATATTACTGATAATTTTGATGCTTAACTTTAATAAAAGTTTGTGGCAGAAAACATAGAAATAGAAAACCAAAAAGTTTTGAAATTTGTTGTTTAGTTGGAGAATGAGAAGTTGATGAATTTTTTCTATATAACATAAAGTATTTTCGAACATTTCTATCCCAAGGTTTTTATGGCAATGGTAGCTTGTGCTTAGAACGCCAACAACATGATTCAGGTTTTCTGATTATCTCCCAAGGAGTGGTCATAGTGCGTGCGCCGGTCAATGCAAAAAATGTAAAGCCAATATCAGTGGCTTCAATGGCCATTGGTTTGGATAAAGATTGTTTGGAGGGGCGTATATATTGGGGTGATATCTCAGCCAAAAAGATAGTCAGTATTAAATATGATGGAACCGATATGAAAACATTAATAACTAAAGGTAATTTGTAGAAATAAAGGGAGAGAAATTTTAAATACTACACTCTTTTTATATACTCTTAGATATTGAATCTCCTGAGGGCATAGCTGTTGATTCTATGTCAAGGCGTATTTATTGGACCGATTCCATTAAAGACACCGTAGAAGTGGCCAGTTTGGAAGACCCATCATTACGTACAATTTTAATCAATAAAAGTTTAGTGAATCCCCGCGGTATTGCCGTAGATCCTTACAGAGAGTAAGTTGATTTGGGTTTTCTTTCAGAACTATATACGAAACCAGTAAAAAAGTTATATTCGGCTGGTGCCGAATTTCGCATACCCACCATTATTAAAATCTTTGGCTTCCCATGCTCCCATTTATTGTCATAAAAAATGAACGAGATAGGATATATTTTTCATCTTTTAATTCACTACAAGCTTTTGGTGAGAAAAATTTATCTGTCATACCATGACGTCCCCCATAATTAATTTAGAATTAATTTAGTATTCCAATCTCCAAACCCTTTTATTTGATACCCATATTGACGGTATTTTTAAGAAAAAAATTTATCTACCATGTCATGACAATTAATTTAAAATAAACACACTTAGCTTATACTTTCTCAATTCTTTTATTTGATACTCAAATTGCTGATATTATTAAGAAAAAATTAAACCACTATGTCACGGCGTTTACCTTATTCATTTTGGAATTAACCCAAGCGATTAGACAGATAATATATCTTCATTTGAGGAAGGTATAAAATAGTTTTAAACATTGTGTTTGCTTGCTTTACGATAAATAAACATAAAATCCCAAAAAGGTGAAACAAATAAAATTTAATCACTCGTAACTCTGTAAGGGCAAGGTCGATTTTTTTCATTTTTTCACCTAAATGGTAGAGTGTTTCGTAAAGTAAAGGTGGAAAATTTCAGCTTTTCAACTTTTATAATCAGAAATTAAAAACTCACAAATTTTTATTAAGAAAACGAAGTTGCGTTCAGTTTACGGTCCACTGCGGGTCTCTGCTCTGAGTATTTTGACCCCTATCCAATACCAACTTGCGTACGAACATTTCCAATGTTTCCACCAAATTTGATTTCGGTGTCTGCAATTTTACAACCAGGGGAATGTCAAAAACACACACCACAAAGACACAGACGGACAGACATGGCTTCATCAATTCAGAATTTCACGCTGTTTTATGTACTTTATAGCGTCTCTGAAGCTTCCTTTTGGGTGATGCATACACTTTAAAAAAAAACAAAGTGACTATGCTCGGGTGTGGATATAAAAATATTTTTGTACTATTGCAACAATAACAATTTATTTTAAGAAAACTGTACTGGTCGGATTGGAACCGAGAATCGCCTAAGATTGAAATGTCTGATTTAGACGGCACGGCTCGTGAGGTCTTGCTCGGTCAAGAAAATGTTCTGCTGCCAAATTCTCTAGTAGTTTTAGAACGTACAGGCGAATTGTGTTACGCTGATGCAGGCACAAAGAAGGTAGGATGTATCGATGCTTACACGAAGAAAGTACGCAGTATATCCAATGAACTAACTTATCCTTTCGGGTTAGTCTACACTCATGACCACTTTTATTGGACTGATTGGATAACGTGAGTTACCGTATAATATAAAGCAAAAGTTTTATAAAATTAAATATTTAAATAACTCAATTTTAGCAAAAAATTGGAAAGTGTTAATACTTTGGGCCAACGGCAGAAAAGTTTGCAAATCCCTTTCTTTGGTAGTCATAAAATGTACGCCATGACTGCGATAGAAGACCATTGCCCGCAAATGGATAGTCCTTGTCAGATAAACAATGGAGGGTGTTCTGATTCGCGCCTATGCTTAGTAAATCGTAAGGCCCCTTCGGGCAAAAGCTGTAAATGTACTAGACTGTCTAAATTATGTAGTGCTCCGTCTAGTTTTTTTCTGTAAAAACAATTACTGGCTTCGCCGTGTAAAGATTTTATATTTGTAATTATTATAATTTTGTTTCTGAAATATACCAGAACATAACATTACTAAGTAGGTGTATTGAAAAACAATAACAATATTTATCATTTAATAACGTTTGTGCTATTTCCCACTTGTGAAATTTTTTATATACCATGCAATAAATTTGGGTTACCAGAGAGAGAAAATTACAAATTTATTAAATTTTTGAAATTTTGGACTTATTTTTCTGTGACAATTATCAATACGATTGTATTATTTTGGCGTTTTCTTTTAAATCACTAGTGAGCGGTACATTCTTTAAGAGTTAGTTTTTTAAATTGGACTTTACCGCCAAAATAATAAAAACTCATAAATAAATCCATGAATCTTGCAGCTCGAAAAGTGTGTTCTGGTGTTTTTTTAGCTGCCTTGGACCATGCTGATTCCAATAACGCTGCGGTAGATATACTGAACGTGAAGTGGCGCCTTATGTTCGCTTTTATACGCCATCTAATGAGGCGTTAAATAATCCTATATGCGTCGGTTGTGGCTGTTTCTCGCATAACGATGCTGATGGCCTGGATTGTTCTTCTATTATCGATGGCTCTTCCAGTCTCATGTCCCTTCCAGTTTTCGTCAGTTGTCAAAAAGTGTGAAATCATTTGCAAGCAGTACGCTACTCCGAATCAATAATATCACTAAGTTGTTAACGTTTGGATGGCACGTTTTCCATAAAACTTGTATGCGCATATAGTTACTGAGTGCATGTGATTTTATGTGTATTTCATTGCACAATGCACGAACTGGCGGCGGGAACCAGCCGGTCTTTGCAAAAAGAAGAATAATAGCAAAAGAAGGCAAAGATAATAGACTCGGTCACGACAGACTGACAGAAAAAGCAATGAGAAAGATCGTTCTAAGTAGGTCTATATAAAGTAGTCGTCGAGAAAAATTAACGCCAGCATTAATTAAAGGACGGATGTGTCTGCTGTGTTCATGCGCTGCTGTTAACTCGATTTTATTTAGGATTGATGGTTGTGATAAGAACCATGGATGGATGAAATATAACTGAAAAAAATCATATAATTAAGAGGCAAAAATAATTTCTTAAACGATTAATATACGTAACGGCGGAACAATTAAATGTAAATGTTTGTGTTGTTCACTATGATACATTGCATGTATAAAATTGACTAAAAATAGTTTCTTTCAAAGTTACCAGTTAAAAATGATATCTTTGTTCATAAATTTTGAACTGTTGAAAAACTAATTTAGAAATATTTACAACTGTAACGTGAAATGGTCGCTACTCGCAACACATTAAAGTAGTATATATTACAAGACAAGAGATTTAGCAACATTTGCGCCACAATATTATCAGGCAAGCTATTTTTATAGTAGGCTTAATATATTTCCTTTAATTTTCAATACTTTCTTATCTCTCTTTCTATTTATTAAAAAAAAATTGTTATTACTGTTATTAAAAAAATTAAGTTACTATAATTTTTTCCAATTCCTTCATCTTCATCACTGCACCCAAAACGTCATTTAAAAAAAAGAATGAAAAAAAAATAAAATAACTATGTTACTGCTTTTTCGATTGAAACTGGCATGTAGGCTCACATGTACACGTTTGAGAGTTCCCATGGCAAAATGTCACAATTGCCCAAAAAGTAGGAAAAATATGTGTAGTGGAGACTATGTATAATAATAGGTATTTTTTATAATAAATACATAGACATGTAAAAAAGCAGCGAAAATTTCAGGGAATATGTCATAACATAATAATTGTTTTGTAACGAGTCTACTTTGGCGGGGTAGGCTCAGGGCTTTCCAGGACTCCTTCCAAGAAATTTATTTAAAGGAAAAATAATTTGGACCTCCGGATGTTGTTCTTATTATTTATTTATTCTTACGGAATTTACAGTAGATAAACGTGTTAAGGGGAGCGGGAGAAAAAATCAGCGACTCTTGTTTTGGTTCGCCCCGAAAGATAATTATTATTTTTTTTACGCTTTAACCGTATCGCGAGATTCCGTAAAGGAGAAGGAATGCGCCGCGGGTGTTACAGCAGCCAACCTTGGCCTATAGGGCCACTGGTCCGTCCCTAACCGTTTTACGTCACAAGAGAAAGTGTCCATTAGTCATTCAGGGATGACGGCTAAGCCAAACATGCCATCTCCTATCCGTAAAATTTAACAGTCCTAGTAGTCATTCAGGAATGACGGCTAAGCCAAACCTGCCATACACTATCCGTAAAGTCAAAAAAAAACCTAGGAGTAACGTCAACTAGTTATGTATTCTGTGATCACTTACCTCTGGCTGCTGTAACACGACTGAAAGATGAGCGTGCTGCAACGAGCTCTTTTATAGTCGCGATCACCATCCCTGTCCCGTTACATCGCTGCTTTGACTTGCATACGTGTTACCATGGTATTCTTATGTATCTATTCTTACGTACACTAACTTAGGTCTGGTCGAACACGTTTACCTGCATCTACTAATACTACGTTAAGTACTGACTCGTATGATCTTATTTTTAGCGTTGGCTTAGTTAACCAAATCGTATGCTAACTTAGGTCTGATCGAACATGGTTGCCCTCATTTATAATCTCAGCTCTTACTTGTATGATATTACTCTTATGTATATATTATTATTAATTAGGTACCAACTCGTATGATCTTATTGCTAATGCTGGAATAGGTAACAAATCGTAAGATTTTATAAGCCGCAGAACCTTTAGGTATGTCTTCATATGATATGTAACTTGCTTAATTTAATAAACCCTTTTTTTCTATTGCCTATTGCTTGCAAGTTTGCAAGCAAAACGCTTCCTTACAGTTTCTAAATAAAAAATTTTTAACAAGATACTAAAAGTAAGCGATCAAACACAAAATATCAAAAAATGAAGGTTCTACTGCTCTTTTTGATACATATAATTTCTCAAGTAAATACTCTCACAAGCGTATACAAATATTTTTACTATAGCACTTTACTTTTGTACCGTAAAGCCGTGTTTTCTAAACCACTGCGCGAGCTCGCATCGACAAAATAAGTGAAACAACTAAAGATGCAAAAAAGCGAGCGATACTTCGGAAACGGAGAATAGTAGTCGTGCGAAATACAAAACTTTTCGGAAATTATTGTGAAAAGCATAGCTTCATATACTGTTTTGCCTTTGTGCTTCTTCCCTTCCTGCTACATGGAAGTGGTTGCACATTAAGATCAATCTAATAAATAGAAATAATAAACACAGATTGTGACGTTCGATACAAATGAAAACAGCTTTACATAATTGCAGTCCACACTGTTTGCCGAAACGCAAAGCTCACCATATACATACCTTCTTCCCTTATTTTGAGTAAACTCGTATAGAGTAGCGCGTTCATTTTTGTAAAATACGTACTGGTCAGCCAACACCGACCAAAGAATATTATGTATCGTGAGGAATGGAGTATGTCCAGCAGCACCAGGCTGTGCTCCCAAGAACTGTGTGGTTATCTTTTTTCATTTAGTTTACTTCATTTTCAGCTCGTTTATCATTCAATCAAAAGCGAAATTTAAATTATTTTTTATTATGCTCTTCCCTGTTGTTAAATTCACTACAATACATTTTCTTTTTTTTAAATTTCACAAGGGCGCGAGTTGTGACATTAGATTACCCCTAGAAACCCGACCGTCTTGTTTCGCGGCTTGCTCTCGACTCCCTGCTGACTCTCTTTCCTTGACCGGTCCGTTCCTCGACACGGGCAATTTGAAGTCAGCTGTTTTAACTTCCTCCTCAGGAAGGAAGAACCAGTCAGGTCTAAACGAGGGACGACTTTGTCTTCTCACAGTGTGTAACAGCATCGCAACATCGCTATCAAACCTAACATCAATCATTAATTAAACAACAGCAACTATAACATCAATAGCAACAGAAAAATAGCAATAACAATAACAACAGCGATAGTAACAATAACACGCGCGCTTATACTCAAATTAAGCCCCAAATATATACAACGTTCGCAAGCTTACGTAGACAAATACTGTAGTAACAGCAAAAAGTAAATTATTACCTTAAATTATAAGATTATTATATTAAATTATAAAAGTAAATTTTTACGCTAACCAAGGTGGGGTACGCAATCGTAAAACGTGGCATAGATCCCTGGAAGAAATGCACGTGGCTGGTGCGCACTAGTTACAAATCAACCAGACACAAGAAGAACCGCATTCCCCGCCACCGACGTTATCAAGTGACAAAGGGGACAGCAGAAGCGGATGGATGCACCCGCGGAGCTCTGGGGAAAATACGCCAGGGGGCAAAGATCATAGAGGACGGAAGACGATTCATCCACAAGCTAATACGGGATCTTGGCGATTCAATATTACTCCTGCACGAGAAAGGAAAGGTAGAAAAGCCAAGTAAATTGAGACGGGAGACAATCAAGACTGTGCAGACATCGCCTATGCTTATAAAAAAACGATTGGATTATAAAAAACGAGATGATTGAATGCCGAATATTACACCAGAATAAAGCCATCGACAAATGAAAAATAGGCTGTCGCTAGCACCAGCAGAGCTGCGGACGCTAAATAAAGAACTTAAATAAAAGTGGGCAACCGTCAAAAAGCAATGCAAAACACGGAAAGCAAAAAAACAATCCACATACTGTATATATACGTAAAATAGGTGTGATACAGCGACATCCTTAAAAAAAGCAAAGTCGGTGGTGAGCTGCAAAATATGTACGTAAAAAAAAATAAGACGGACGACGTCTTGGTAGGAGAAATTCCGCAGCCTGTTAAGAAAATATTTGATGGATCTATCGCAACACTCTCTTTTTATAAGCGAAAATTTCCAGTGTACTCATCGATTGGGTACATAACTGACCCAAGAGCATAATGCAATAAAGCAAGAAGGTGATTATATATAAGGTGCAGAGGAACTGTTTAATTCTAGCATACATATCTTTATAATTGTTTTTATTATAAGTTCTTTAGTACAGTTGCTTCATATTTTACCTTATGTTTATGCTTATTCATTTATATGTGCACTGTTCGCTACATTTTTGTTTACATTTATTTTCTTACTTTATCTACGTACACAATTACTTACGCTATGCTTGGAAATGCAATTTGATGTATTTTGAAGTGTCACATTTTATTTCACAAAATTCAAGCGGCCT